CCCCAAAACCCCAAAACCCCAAAACCCCATAAAGCCAAATGATATTATGAAATAGGGATGGAAATACTAAATTAAGAATAATAAAACAAAGACAAAATAATAAAAGTTTCAATAAAATGACTGATTCGCATCAAGAACTCGATATAACTCCTAGTGAAAATATGAATGCATCGTAATCTTAGGAAATGGGTGGCTAAAATTCATTGATTGGAGAAAACAGCATTATTTAATAGGATGAAACCAGTCATCATTAGAATAATCCAAATGAAGATCATCTATTGAGAAATTTGGACGATATTTAAGAATAAGCCTAGCTTGAAGATGAATTAAATGAAGCGAGCGCCATAACTGAATCTTTTGACATTAATAAATCTCAAGACTATGCAAGCAAAAGAGGTGTTGATACAGACAGATCTTTTTTGAATCAAGGGACAAAAAGTTTATCTATGGCATTAGGGCACAGTGATAACGATTTAAAATTCTCCTCAAAGCACAAAGTGTAAAAAAATTTAAAGCCTGACTCCTCATTGAACATGGAAGAGCTTATGATAAATGGTGACAATAGTCACATTCTTGAGAAATCAGAATCAAGTGGGACAACAATAAAGCAAAAAACTCAGAAAAAGACATCTAAATTTTAAGGTATAAAGCAGAGTGCTGATTAAAGTAACAAGGGCAGGTACTCAGTTTCAATTGATAAATCCAAAATTAGTTCAAACTCTTAGTAAATGGAATTGGGATCCACTAGAGCAGCAATTCCAGGTGATGAATACAAACTCCCTCCAGGAATGAAATAAAGAAGAGCAGGATAACTTAAAAATGCGTTCAGACAGTCAATTGTTCCTAAGAATCCTGGGCTTTAATTGACAAACGAGGAGTTGGCTAAAAAGATAGAAAAAGAAAGATTGCAATAGCTACATGAGTCAGCTGAGAAACTTAAAACAAAATTATAATAAATTGGGAGATGTGGAATTTGTACTCTGATGCCCCCGTGTAAACACACTGAGTTACTAGAATAATAGCTAAGAGAAAAATAGCAACTAATTCTTGAACAAGAACAAGCTGAGTTGATGAACACTGATATTAGTGCTGAACTAGATGAGCATTAAGAGCGAAGGAATATCTATCATCATGTCAAGAAATAACAGACAGAAGCAAGTGACAATGGTTAAAGTAAAAGCCCTGCAAATAAGCATAGATCAGTTGAAGGGTCTCAAGGTGAAAACAGTCCAGATAGAGTTAAAGTTGAGTACATAAGTGATAATCCCCAGCCATATTCAAAAACTCTGGTAATGTTTGGACAGAAGCATCTAAGAGGATCTTATCATCATGGACAGGATTAGTCGAGTAGGCTTAGTCCATATTCAATTCTAAAGACTTCTAGAGATGTAGACCTTGATAGTGAGATTCAAAAACTAAAGGGAATGGGCTTTAAGAATACTAGAGCTTCTGTTCTAAAATAACTACATCTAAGAAAACAATTTGAAGAAAATCCAAATTTAGCAAGATATCCAAAGTCTAAACCTCAAAATGAATCTCTTAATACTAGTTAATTCAATTTTAACTCAGATCAATAAGCATAGCATAACCCTTTCAGATTAAATCAATCTGTTGACATGAAAGAACTTGGTACTCTACAAAATCCATAGATCAGAATCAGGAATAAGAGAGGTTAATACGAAAGTGTTGACGGTAATAGCGTAAATTTCTCTCTTAGAAAGCATGAGGAAAATTAAGATTAAATGAAATATGCTGAATAGAGACTGAGAGTAATTGAATAGGTAAGTCCAAAAACCCTGGTTAATCATTGGATAAATAACATATCTATAGATATCAAAATACAGAGAAGAGAAAATCAAAAGAGAGTTTATGAAGCTAGAAGAGGAGCTAAAGAGGGAGGAGGAAAGAATCAAGCAAGAAAAAGAAAAGGAACATAGAAGAAGATAGCATATGGAAGATGCTAAGAGAAAATTAGAAGATTATTAAAGATTGAAAGAAGAGAAGGATAGATAAGATAGAGAAAGATAAGATTAAATGAGATAAAGCATTAAATTATAATAGCTTCAAATAATAAAGCACAACGATGAGTTGGTAAGTTATTGAATTTGAAATCATTAACAAAACCTTATTGAATCATACTTATTAAAATTTCAATCAGAAATAAAAGATAAGGGAGCACAGAGAGCAAAGATCATAGGCCCAAGGTTCCTAAGCAAATATGGAGATATCATAAATATCATCAAATTCTAAAGAGAGGAAATCAGTGTCTCCAATTTAAGTCACAAGATACAGAGATCGAAATTATCAGAATAATCTAATGGACAACAAGAATTATCACATAAGGATTGACAAGTAATAATGGTAGATTAGTTAAGAGCAGCACATGAGAAACCAGAGAGAGGTTTATCCAAAAATTGACAATAAAGTTATGGCATATGGAATCTATAACTAAAGTGTTAAGGTTAAGGATATTACAAGGCAAAGTGGAGGTTCAACAAAGCAAAGCATGAAGAAGAATTAATTGAGAAAATCGATGATCTAGTATATTCCTATGGCTGAGAAGATCAAGGCATCTCATAACAGCTCATAGCTTATCAGAGAAATTATGCAGAATCATAGTCAGATTGAGACGAATTAGGTAACAAATAGAGGCGATGAAATAAGTGAAGCATCAAAGCAAAGATAGCAAATGCAAACTATTTGATATTAAAATTCCAGATTTTTAGTTTAACTTTAATAATAAAATTTAAATTTCTAATTTGATTTTAAAATCTAAGCTAGAGGGGTTTTGGGGTTTTGGGGTTTTGGGG